TTAATAGAGGTGTGTGTAGACACCAAGTTGACAAGAGTGGTCTGTGGTAGTGTACTTTCTAGGTCGGCTTAGCTAAACTGAAGCTATATTTCTCTGAATTCCATTCTCAGTATAAGGTTGCTTTAGGATTACTCACAAGAGAAATTTGCATAAGATTTGAGAGTGGGGAGTCAGTCAGAAGCCATTTTTTGCACTCTCAAGATCAGTAATGGGCCCAGGCATTACAGTATCCCTTGTGCAATATCAATATCTGGTCGTTTACTGAGCTGGCATGGAGTAGCAACTGGGCCCACATTCTCCCTGCTCCTGCCAGATCTTCTTCAGCTTCTCCATGTGTTAGGCCAGGTAAGTATGCAGCTCAATGATGAAAGACACCAGGGTTTCCTGCAGGTCACCCTTATCATAAGGTTTGGAGGCAGTGTATTATAACTTTGTTAAATTAACACTTGTTAAGTGGAACACAGGGTGCCGTGTGGTGATTCCAAGCAACCAAAATGGTGAGTGGTAGTTCAACAACAGACCAGAAGAGAAATTGAAATAGAGAAGTTTATCACTCATAGGTATTTGAGGAAGTTCATAGCATCCCTCAAGGGGTCGGTCAGAGCAGAGTGCAGGCAGAGAGAGGCAGGACCTTGGGCACATGCCTTTATTGTGGTTCAGGGGTGTAGTGCTTCTGGGTTTTGGTAAGACACATCGGGGTCTTACCTAGGGCGCAGAAGGAATACAGGCTTTGGGAAGCAGGGGATACTGATCATAAATCATATCACATACTTACATTTGCTTCTGACTCTGAGCTGCTATCTAGGCGTGTGCTTCCCTGAGAAAGGTAGTGTCAGTTTAAGGTCCCTGCAGGCTACTTGCCCAAGTAAAATGGTGGCCAAGGCAGCAATACCAAAAGCAGCTTAGCTAAACTTTTGACACAGCGATAGATACAGGTTCTATGTTTTCTGTGTGCCCTCACGGGTTCCAGTCTGTCCTCATGTGTTTCAGTTTGTCCTTGTGGATCTAGTTCCTTCTCTGGATTTCATTTCTTTCATATATCATGTTCAGTTTTCTTTCCCAATTGCTGGCTTACGTGATTTCTGGCAACTTTAGGCCAAATATCAGAACAGGTATAACAGCCTTACATAGAGCATTCTTTTGCAGCTTCTATAATAGCATAAAGTCTAATCCCATAAATATATTTATTTCTGAGTGATCTCAGACCAATACAATATTTTTAATCATTTTGGAAAAGTTCTGAGCCATTATCTTTTGAAATTTGATTTTGCCCTATTTTCTATTGCCTCTATTTAAAAAAAAATTTAAATCTTTATTGTTGAGAGTATTACAGATGTCCCCCTCCCCCCGCCAATTGCCCCACCCCAGGCCTTCAGCACCCTATTGTCTGTATCATAGGTAATGCATATATGCATATAAGATCTTTGGTTACTCTTTCCCTGCCCTCCCTGCTCCCCTCCCCCTCTGAGATTCATCAGTCTGTTCCATGTTTCCATGCCTCTGGTTTTATTTTATTCATCAGTTTATTTTTTGTTCATTAGATTCCTTGTTCATTATTTTGATTTTTAGATACAATTTGGCTAGATATGCATTTATTGCTATTTTATTGTTCCTATTTTTTATCATCTCCCCTCTCTTTCTCCTCCCCCCTCCTCCTCCTTCCCCTTCCTCTTCCCCTTCCCCTTCCTCTTCATCTTCCTCTTCTTAAAGAATACCCTTCAACATTTCATGTAATACTAGTTTGGTGGTGATGAAATCCTTTAACTTTCTCTTGTCTGTGTTCTTTATCTGACCTTCAATTCTAAGTGATAGCTTTGCTGGGTAAAGTAATCTTGATTGTAGGTCCTTGCTATTCATCACTTTGAATATTTCTTGTCACTCCCTTCAGGCCTGCAAAGTTTCTGTTGAGAAATCAGCTAACTGTCATATGGGTGCTCTCTTGTAGTTAACTAACTGCTTTTCTCTTGCTGAATCTATTTCTTTCACCAGGTAGGGGAAGTTTTCTGTCATTATTTCTTCAAATAGGTTTTCAATATTTTGCTTTCTCTCTTCTTCTGGCACCTCCATAATGTGAATGTTGGTACCTTTGAAGTTGTCCCAGAGGCTCATTACACTATCTCCATATTTTTGGAATATTTTTTTCTTTTTGCTCTTCTGATTGTTTTTTGCTTCCTCATATTCCAAATCATTGATTTGATTCTCTACATCCTCTACTCTACTGTTGAATCCCTGTAAATTACTCTTTATTTCAGTTAGTGTGTGCTTAATTTCTGACTGGTCCTTTCCATGTGTTTGATGTTCTCACTAATTTCATTGAGATCTTTAAAATTCTAAGTCCCCTGAAGCTCTCATTAAGATCCTTTAGCAGCCTTATAATCATTGTTTCTAATTCTGTATCTAATAGTTTGCTTGCTTCCATTTCATTTAATTCTTTTTCTAGAGATTTCTTCTGTTCTTTCATTTGTGACATGTTTCTTTTTCCTTACATTTTGGCTGCTTCCCTGTGTTTGTTTATATGTATTAGATAGAGATGCTATGTCTCCTGGAATTGGTAGAGTGGTCCTCTGTAGTAGGTATCCTATAGGGCCCAGTGGCTCAGCCTCCCCAGTCACTTGAGCTGGGCACTCTAGGTGTGCTCCTGTATGGGCTGTGTGCCCAGTCATATTGTAGTTGAGCCTTGATTGCTATTGGCCTCATTGGGAGGACTGACCCCCCAGGCCAATTGGTTGTGAAAACCAACTTCAACTACACTCCTATGATGCAGAGCTTGCTTCATTGGGGCTTTGGTGCTCACTGAGTCTTCCCCTTGAGTTTGTCTCTTGTGGATGTGTAGAGTTGTAATCTGGTATGGTCTGAAGCTGTCCACTGGGTGCACTTGCTCTGGGGCCTTCCTGGAGGCCCCCTGACAGGAGCTATAGAGATATATGCAGATGGCTGTTATTTGTATTGGGCTTGGAAGTGCTCAGGTGAGGCTAAGCTGTGAAGCAAGGCAGACTGGTGCTAGGGCTGGGTTTGGGCCTCTTGTTAATAACTATGGGGCATGCTGACACCAGCTGCTGCTTGTTTAAGAGATTTTAGGACAATCTGAAACCTGAGCCAGAACAGGCCATTCATATGGAAAAGCTGCTGCAAACAGTTTGGGTGGGGCTGCAAGTTGGATGAGCCCAGGTCTCAGGGAATCACCAGAGTGGAGAAAACAGTGTGAGCCAGGATGATGGAAACTCAGATATGGCTGCAAGTCAGCTGTGGGATCAGGGAGGTCCCAGCACAGGAACAATGACCCCTGTGAGCACCTCCATCTGGGAGAAAGCTGCCCCTGAGTTCCTGCCCCAATGCCAGACAGTCCAGTTCCTCCCTGTGTGTCTCTGGTTCCCCCAGTGCTGCTGCCAAGTGCTGGAGCTCAGAGGGATTGAGTCCAAGTAAGTCCATGTGCCAGCATGGGGGACTGTTTAGTCCCCCCAAGTGTGAGTGGAGTAGACTTGTCTCCCCATTCCTTGCTATGTGAAGGTTCCCAATGCCTCACAACAACATATCTTTTCTCTCTCAGCGTTATTGTCAGCTGACAATTGGTGCTGATATAGAGCATTATGGTATGTGGGGTATGAATTGGGAGAAGATGCCGGACAGCTGCATGTTTTAGCTGTGGGAAGGAGGGAGAAGGTCCTATACGATTTCTTTAAACATAAGTGCAGAGAGTGTAGATTTAGTTGAAGAGATTGCCCTAAGAAGACTGTTTCGGTTGAATGAGAAGGCTTTCATCCAACAGGGGTTGTGATCATGCTGCTAGAGGGAGGTAAAATAGTGGCCCAGAGCAGGGATAAAACTGCTTGAACATATGTAGAGTGAGCCTATTATACGGTCATCAGCAGCTGTGTATTCACAGTTTAAAGAAGGAATAGCTAAGAAAGACCCTTTTCAATCCTACTGATGTACATACATTCACTTAAACTCCTTTTCATTCTTCTCACTCCCTTTTGTTACCCCACCACTGCCACCAAGAATGAGTACAGATGAAGTAGTAAAAGGGGAGATAAAAAGAGAGAAAAAAACAAAAACAGTTCTCCTTTGCCTGTAGTTCATAGCAGGTGGGTGAGCACTTCACCTGAGTTTGGTGAGCGAGTTTTGAGCTGAACTAAACTAATAATACTATTTCCATGTGATTGAATATACAAAAGAAGATCTTTTAGATTGAAAAAAGTGAAAAAAAAATCTAATGTGGCCAGAGAAATGCTTAGAAAGGTAGAGGCACTATTAAATGACAGCCCTTACTTTCCTTATCACTTGGAAAACAAAGTCAATATCACTACTTGCTTAAGCCATTTGATTATTTTTTTGGCTGCATATACACTGCTATTAGTTCATCTTTCATGTTTTTTTTTCAAGGTCCCTGTTTTATGGTTTTAATAATCACCATGATTGTGTTAAAACACCCTGTTTCTGTTACGTGGATGCGAGTCCTTCCTTTATTTCTTTGAATAGCTGAGATATTTTTATTCTGTGCTTCTTTTCTGATGGTTCAATTAATAATATCGAGTTGGGTGCAAGATCTCTACTTTAATCAGTTCATTTGTTCACATTTCTTATACATCTTATTATTCCTGGTTGTAGCCTCATCTACGGACTACTCTCACCAGTGTCTTGATCTAGAATGGCTCTTGCTAGAATGGTTCCTCATCTGTTTCTTTCTTCTTGGTGTGTCTTATACCCCTGACCAAAGAGAATTTCCTTCTTTGTTTTGAAGTGGTTATATGTTCACTAGTTTATATGTTATATTGTTAAAATACACTTCTCCAAGTTACATGGAGAGGAAGTAATTTCTGTTATCTTGAAATGAAGTCTCTAAATTTTTTGACATTTGATATCTAGACCAAGTATAACACTATTTCTCTTAGCAAATCATTAGTAGTTTTTCTCATAAACTACTTTTGGAAAATAACACACCAGGATTGTTTTAACAGCTCAAATCTCTTACACAGAATAGAGCAATTAATGTGGTGGCTATGATTGTAGTTAGGTAAAAGAAATATGCAGTCGCATGGACAAGGAACCTGCCAAAATGGAAAGTATTAAGGTGGTGGGCTTATGGATGACTTTTTCTCTTTTGGCATTTCAGAATTTCTGTATTATTTCTTGCTCTCTAAAGAGGACATAATTTTTGAGTATATATTCTAAATAACATTAAAACATCATACCACTTATACAGACCCCCATTAAAGTACCCAAAAGTACTATAGGACAGAGTTAAAACTCCTAACTGAATATCCCCAAAGCTCTTCACATATATGTTCCCAAAATGCTTCTCTTCTTATCTCCCTCAGTTTTCTTATTGCCTCATCTAGTTTAGTCTCAGATGCTACTACTTTCTGCTATATTTTAAGGATTGAAACACATTTTTGCAGGGTTGTTTATCTACTTACAGGATACTGGTACTTCTGGTCCATTCTTTTGCTGAGTTTATTTGGAATCTTGGTTGTCTACACTTCATTGCTGTTGGTGAGTAACCTTCCCATTTCTCCCACTCCCTTTCTGAGTAGCCTCATGAGGTGCTCCTGTCTATGGTATGGTGCACAGTGGTGCTGGGAGTCCTCAGAACCTAAGATCACTTGTCTAAGTAGCGTTGAGGTTTACATCGACTGCTTGAAATTTAGGAACAAGGGACTGATGGAGAAAAATGATTATTAGAGGATGCATCTTATCACTTTGACCCTTTGAAAGGGTGGCAGAACATCCTTTTTCTATTCCCCTATTTCATAAGCCCATTTTATGGTTCAGTCAATATTGTTATTTTAGGCACCCAGAGCTTCACATTAACCTTTATGTATTGAACTAACTCATTTCATTTCCCATCTCCTGAGAATTAGTGTTTTGGGGCTTTATAAATTAACTAGTTTTTTAAACCTGTTATAATATGCAAATGCTAGTCTGCTAGTTCAGATGCAAATTACATGTTAGCAAAAGTCTTTTGGCAATAGTGACCCTGCCTCTGTTGTTACATAGTTAGTGTCATGTAGGGAGAGAAATTCAGGCCAGGCAAGAGAAAGGTGTGGAAGTGGAAGCTTATGGAGGACAACTGTAAGTGCTTAGAGCAGTGGTTCTCAACCTTGGCTGCACATTAAAATCACCTGGGAATCTTTTTAAAATCCTGATTTCTGGGCCTCATCCTCCGGAAATTCTGTTTCTTTGTTACTAATGTTGTGGCCTCACCCCATAACAAAGAAACAGAATTTCCGGAGGATGAGGCCCAGAAATCAGGATTTTAAAAAGATTCCCAGGTGATTCTAATGTGCAGCCAAGGTTGAGAACCACTGGCTTAGAGTAAGTGGGTTTGTTTCCCGCCAGGCAACTGAAAAACCCTACCCAGAGACAGTGGTCTTTTGCAGAGAGAGAGGATTTATTGTGAGGCAGCTACACAAGGGAGATCGGAGGCAAGGCTCAAACCAGTCTCCTGGAAGAAAGGTCTGAGACAAGTTTTAAGGGAAGAGGAAAAGAGGAGGTTATACATATTCATAGATTTATACTTGGAAGGGTTCAATTGGATAATTTTGAGACTTAGGCATAGATGGTAAGGGATATGAGAGTGGCAAAGGAAAGCACAGAGGATTTCCAATCTGGCAGAGTTTGGTGGAAAAGGGTACATTTCAAGAGTTCTCTGCACAAACTCCAGTTAGCTCAACTCGTCTCAGCCAGTGTCCACCAGTTTTTGCTGGTCTCGGCAGAGGGACTGGAGAAGAGCTTCCTGTGTGTGTGTTTCTTTTTTTCTCTCTCTGTAATATACTTAAAAAATTTGGTTAGTGTCCAATTTCTCGGTGTCTGGTTTCAGTCCAGTCTAATTTGGTCTCCATGTAAGACACAAAGTACTTTGTTAATGTCTGTTTCAGTCCTCGCTTTTCTTTAAATATTCCTCAATCTTGAGGGATGGGGTGACACAGGTGTAGTGCTGTCTCTGTAAAATAACTCAAGGATTACATTAATCACTAATCTTAATTAAGGGAACAGACCTAGTTTTAAGCTGATTCATATGATTGATGTGTTGTTTCACACGTTTAGGAAATTGGAGTTTTTCAGTGCCCATTTGTACATAGGGCATCTACGTCTTTCTCTGATTTCATGATTTCTTGTCACTACTGATTTACTATCTGATATAAAAGAACTCAACCCCCAAATAAAGTGCCATTTGCATTTATTTTTTTTCTCTCAAGAAAATTTATTAATCATGATGTGAGTGATAAGTACTAAGTATACAGAGGTCAACAAAACATAAGCATTTTCTGTTTTCATACAGAGCACTTCAAAGAGATAGGTATGAAATGTAACCTTACTATATATAGTCCCTTAATTGAATGAGTTTGGAATCTAGTAGGGCATTTTAATCATAGAAAAAAGTAACTAACAAAGGCAGAGCATTATAACACCAATGTAAGAGAGACACATTGATTGGTTGCTTCCCACACGTGCCCAAACTGGAGATGGGGGGAGGGGAGGTAGAGCCTGCAACACAGGTGTATGCCTTTGACCAGGAATTGCACCCACGGTTCTTTGGTATGCAAGGTCATGCTCTAACCATTTTACCACACAAGCCAGGGCTAGATACTTTCTTTATAATGGGAAAATGTAGATGAATGATGTGGTCTGGGCCAGCCTCTGGCCATTGAATTATACTGCTTTCATACACAATAAATGTGAAATGCTGTAGTTAGCTTCTAAGGTGGGAATGAGTTCTACTATGGAATAATGAATATTTTTTAACAAATCCTACTCCACCCTACCTTTTATGGATACATGCAATGCATACAACAGTGAACAAAGAGGGAGCCCTAGGTTCTATTTTCAATTCTGTGTTTGAGTTACTTTGTAACTTTGGTCAAGTCATATAACTTCTGAGACTCAGTTTCTTCTGTTTGAAATGAGAATGATAATATTTAATATAATGGTATTTTATAGGGCTGGGTAAAGAAGAAATGAAATCATATACATAAAATTATTTTGATAAAAAGGTAAGTGTCATATATATTCCAACTCTTGTAACGTCCTAAGTATCTGAAGTCTCCAGTTTTCGGTTTCTATCCCTATGCTGACTTTGTGACGGACTAGATTTACATTGAAATCTAAGATTTATTGACTAAATGCCAGTGTTAACAACAGTGGTTAAAAGTTGTTACAGTGACATTGGTTCCTCAAGAAAGCTTTTTTTTTCAAATATATTTTATTGATTTTTTACAGAGAGGAAGGGAAAGGGATAGAGAGTTAGAAACATCAGTGATGCCCTAGCCAGTTTGGCTCAGTGGATAGAGCATCAGCCTGCGGACTGAAGGGTCCCAGGT